TGCAAGGTTAGTTAGGCACGATGGGGATGCCAGCTCCCCAGTTCCCATCCCCTTGAAATGGTCTTGGGAATACCCTGTAGCAAGAACAGCATGGCTGGATTCTCAGCTTCTCCTATTATGCTAGACAAGATCCAGTCACTTTAAGGTGATGGCCATATCCCATACATACACGTATTGGTGTATATAGCCTCAAGACTTTGCTGTCTCCTGAAGTTTCCAGTGCTCTTCTCCTCTGAAGAAAACCGACCAAAACCAAGACCTGCTCTGCAGCCCCGTCAGGGATTCAGCAAGGTGACTCACGGGTCGCATGTCATTTCGCTGGGATAGTATTTCACTCTGGTTAGAAATGAAGGGGGCACAGAGCTGTGTGTTGAGAGATGACTCACTAGGTGACCTTCAGTTTACGTCTCTTGGGAAAAATATTTAAATGGAAAGAGACTTTTAACACTGGAATAGATGGTCTTAGGTTACGGTTAACATCTTCACAGGGTGTTATGAACAGGCCAGAGGAGCACATGCCAGGTATGGGGCAGGAGCTCTCAACTGACATGAGTTGACTGTAGTTCCTCAAGAGCCCAGCCTAGGACAAAACACAACTCAGGCCACATGCAGCCTCTGTACCCACATCACAACTACAGCTGTTGCTGGTATAAGTAAGATATGATCTTGTTTTATAGCACGGTACGGACTAAAAGATCTCTCAAGGTGTAGTCCAGGTTTATTTTCCGTGAGTTTATTCCTTATTTGCCCATGCTGTGCAAAATTTGATCATAAGCTATCTTTCTTATGCGGGTAAGGAAAGGGGTAAAGATATCTGGGGATTGATTTGCAACTGTTGGATAAAAGCTGCTTCAGAAATACCAAAATGGTGGTATAACCTCAAGTCTGATATTAATTATAGGGTACACACACATAGGAGCGATGTTTTATTCTCATTTAAAAGATGTAAAGCTTTCAGATAATGCAGGCTGCCTGCATGGGAAGGTTTGCTGTTTCCTGCTGTGTGATTCTCTGAGTTATTGTAGTGCCCCCTCTGACAGACCCCAGGGTAATCTTTGTTTAAAGCCTTTAATAGCTTCGAAAATGTGTTCTCCTCACTTGGCTGAAAAAACCAAAAGTTTTAAAGGAGCAGATTCCCTTCTTCAGCTGACTCTCACCCTGTGCAGAAGTCAGGCTGCTAAAAAAACCAGTATTTAGTGAATTCCCTGTCAATAGAATATTGGTATATAGCAAAGTATTGCTCTGATATTTTTCCCTTGCCAAAGCAGGCAAGGACCATCCTATTGATCTCTCCCATGCTACAGGTTGGGAGATGAAGACAGGGACGATTTCAACATTTTTTACTGTACTGGCAGTTTCCTGATGTAATCCAGGATTATTCCCTGCTGGCCAAACAAAAGCTCACAAAAAAAGGCCAGCCCTCAGCTGAGCGTCTGATTCAAAAGAAAATTCAGCTGAAAGCCGAACATTGGAAAGATGAGTCAATACAAAAGCAAGCAGCAGCTCTGGATTTAAGCAGAAGTCCACAGCATTTAACCTACTTTAGCAGATCAATGCAGTGGATTTTTAATCATCACATTAATCCTAAAATAAAAATAATCACCCCAGAGATCCTTATTAAAGCCCCTTAATTATATCTCATTTCATCATCCTTTTTACTCAGGATCAGAAGCTACAGAGACCTGAGTTTCCCGATGTCATTTTCCAGCTTGCAGTTTAACTCTCTCGTTAGGACTTTAGCTGCTGCTATGGGGATGAGGCACTGGCCTTGCTGAGAGCACCCACATCCATCCCACTTGGGGGAAAACTGAAAAAGGGAAAAAAAAGGTGGGCAGGATTCTGCTTTCCAGTGACACGGTACAAAACAACAGGGGAAGGAGCAGAGAACATTATATGGTGGGTGAAAATTGTGTGAATACCTAGAAATTCAATCTCTGTATTCTCCCCTTCTTCCAGCAATGCCAGGAACTCATTAATATCTCATTAAGGGGAAAGAGAGGACTTGACCAGAGGCTGGGCCCCTTGTCAAATTTCACCGAGCAGAGTTTATTTCCTGGAGCATGCTCTCCCACCTGCAGTCCTGCCATCCCCACAGCCAGGCTTTGGGAGCACGGCCGTGAGCAAACGCAGGACCACGAGCCTCCATGGCACCCTCCATGGAGAGCTTCAGGTGGGTTTTTATGGCAATAAAACCAGCCCATTCCCTGCTTGTAAGGGCAAGTGGCATGGCACAGCTTACAGCCATAGAGCCAACTTTTCCATCTTTCTCCCAGAAAAGGGTGCCTTTGTCCACACCACTTATTGGGACCAGTCTCTAGTCTATGCTGTCCCCTGCGTTGTGCCCAAGCTGCTTGTTTTAGGTTAGATTCCCCCTGCCTTGCTGGCCTTTACCCATTTCCACCATCTTCTTGCAGAGACAAACGCTAGCCCTGTGTTATATTTAGGCTTAAAAGCATTGTACGTTTACTGGAACAGTACTTTAGGGCAATTTTCAGGTTTCTCTAAATAAACTAGGGAATTTTTTCCCACTGCCTTGGGAAGAGGCCCAGAGGCCTGTTACTGTTGCAGATGTTGGGATGCAAGCAAAGGCTATCAAAAACCAAGCAGCATGTTGAATCCTAGTGAGTAAATGGCTTTAGGTTTAGGCAGCGTCCCCAGGCTCCAGCTTGGCAAGCGGCCTCCAAAGCTATAAATATCCCACTTCCCCTCTGCAAGGATGCTCTCCAAAACCACCAGCTCCACCGTGGCCCCTGGACGTGCAAGCTATAACGTGTCCAAGGAACCTCACAGCCGGCATCAGCTTCTAACAGGGGACTTAACACCGGAGGTTTGTGAAAGAAAAGACTAATTAAAGGTTACAGCTACCCCTGCACGGAGCGGTCTGGCAGTCAAAGCGCCCGGGAATGGTCACCATAACATACTGCAGGGCATGAGAGTGAGAGAGGGAAAGAAAAAGTGAAAAAGTACCTTCATGATAATATTATGGTAACGATGTAGGCTAAATCACCTTTCTATCATTAATAACTGACAGCCTGAGACTGCCACATCCTGCTTTTTTATTTCCATGAAAGATGGGAACTACCACTTCCCAGCAGAAAGGAGTCAAAGTGCTTTTTCCCTGCACTGAGTGGGGGGAACCCTCTTTGAGACTCTTTCATGTGATTAAAAAAAAAGGAAAACAAACAAATCATTACAGGCTGGAATAAAAAAATTAAATAAACAGTATTTTCTAGTCAAAGTGTCAAAACGTATGCACATCTCCCTGCTTGAGCCCCTTTGATGGCAGAGTGCTCAGAATCAGACTTTCTCCTAGCAAGCCTGGGAATTGGACATCACCCTTTTTTGCATTCCCTGCAGCCCGCTGATGACAGGAGAGGCTCCCAGGACATGAGGCAGGACAGAGACTGGCCACAGAGATCACTCAGTGGAAGAGTTTTAGTTGCATCTTCTCACCATTTTATCTTTACTTTGCTATTTTTCATTTCAATCTATACTTTGGATTTACTTTTCATTGCTGTAATCCTGTTGCAGTCATTTCAAGTTAGAAAAGCAAGTATTGGTAGGGCTGCAAGGCCTCTAGGACAAATAGGAGGAACTGAGAAAATAAGGCAAGATGAGACCTGAACTGGTCATAAAGTCATCCTCTCAACAACAAGGCAGCTCGGTACTACCCTTGTCTACCTAACAGGTTCCTGAAGCCCCCAAAGATGGAGATTTTATACCTCCTCAGGTAGCCTTATTCTTTAAAAGTTTCCCTTCATGGTTAAAGCCAAATTTTTCCTGCTGCAACTTAAGCCCATGACTTCTTGTCACCTCGTGAGTCTTCACAGGGATGTGTTTATTACCTTCCTCTTGGCAGAAATAGTCTGGGTGTTTCAAGACAGTTGTCATATCTCCCCTCAATTTTCTCCAAGCCAAACACAGGTGTTCTACACCTCTGCTCGTTCTTGCTGCTTTCCTTTGGCTCCTTCCAACTGAGTCACATCTTGCTGGAAGTGAGGTGCCCAAAACCAGAGTCCCCCAGCCAAGGCCTCACTAATTGCTCTGTGGATAAACTACAACACTCCAGTCTATACATATTAATATTATGCTTGCTGTTCCCCCCCAGCAAGAAACATTTGCTGATTTGTCAACCTTTTGCTTGCTCTTGGCACAAGGCAAACAACCACATGAGTTGCAAACCAGGAAAGAACCAAACCATTGATCTCTTCTGGCAAAATGCAGCTAAATTCCAATAAAAAATTCCACAGCAGCTGCCTACACTACTGAAACCTGCTTACCTCAAAGCATGTAAGAGAAATATTCCCCTTTATAAAATCATACAAGCTGTAACACCTCAAACTAGATTTAAGCAAAATAAACTCTGCATGGGTCAAGGTCAAACACCTGAAGATCCTTACTGGTGTTTGCTGTAAAAAAGAGAAGTACGATTTTCAGATCAAGGACTGATGTGCTCTACAACAAAGCAGTCTCAGCAGTAATTCATGAGAATACAGCAGTGAAAAAATAAAGTGTGCTCTCTGCTATTTGGAACACTAACATAGCCACTTTGATTTTAGGAATTGCATCTGCATGTTTGTTTCTAAAGACATTAAAGTTTAGGCAATGAGCATGCTACCTTAATTCAACCTCTCAAGCTATTTCAGCTTGAACTTACATAGGGTGAAAAGCCTATCTGGCAGGGTCTGATCCGGGCAAATACTCAGATGGTACAAGTCAGTCTAGCTTAAGTTAAGTAAGACCTAGATTTTTACAACAGCTGAGGACTAAAACACAATCTAAGAAACACACAAATCATTATATTCTGCCTAACATTCTCCTGTATTAATAATCTAACAGACATTACAGATGCCGGATGCATTTTCCCAGATTGACAAGAGATTAATATTGTCAGCACACCACCAAGAAGTGGTTTGAACCGGTATAATGGTATGGCTGGATCTCTGTCTCCATTCAGCCCCACCAGACAACTTTTCCTGTTCCCTTAAATCCCCCCTTACCTTTTGAGATAGTTTCTCCCATAGAGGATCTGCTGCAGCAAGGTGACCACGGCAAAGGCGCAGATGAATATGAAGAACAAAGTTCTGTTTCCCAACAAATCCCTGCTTGACGAAGGGTCAGTGTATCCCATCCTTACGAAAAGCCACTGAAGCTCTGCTGGGTAAAATTCAGTTCATTGTCACCTTCATGCCCTTTTTGCTGGGAAGCGGAGGGGAACGCTCACTGGCTTTTCTCTCAGCAATCCAAGGACAAGGTATTCCATTGTTTGGCCCTGCTGCCCCTTCCTTGCCCCTTTTGGATGTTAGCTCCAGGATTGTGTGCAATGGCTTGCTTCCACAGTAAAGTTTCCAGGAGATTCAGACGTGGGTAACATCTAAAATCATCTCTCAGAGCTCTTTCAGCGCAGGCAGCCTGTGCTGTGCAAGAGGCATTCTGTTCCCTCTCAGCCTCTCTTGAAAACCCGCTGCTAGCAATTATCTACTTCAATCCCATTTCATATTCCAGATGGGGGAAGCTGCAAATAAACCAGAAAACTGCAGCCAATGGCAAACACAGGGCTCCGGCAACCCGCGTTGGAAACACATAGTCGTCAGCTCTTCTTTGCTTCTGCTCAGTGATTCCAACGAAACGTGCTTGCAAGGAGACGTGACTGGGGTGTGCTATTATTGAACAAGCATGTAACAATCATGAGGATTTCATTCAGTCCCCTGCAAAAAACAACAGCAGCAATCTGGTCAGGCTAGCAGGAAAGCCGCATTTTGTGTAGCAGCGTACCGTCCGTACCGTGCCTTCGGTACTGTAGCATTTGCATGCAGAATGCAGTGCCTTTAGTCATAGACCACTCACTATTTGGGCTCCTATATTTCCCCTGGTTATTCCTCCAGAGTGAGCATAAGCAAGGTCACTGTGCATCTCTTCAAGGACAGAGCTCTCGGTTCCTGCATGCTGATTTATTGGAGGCTCTGAGTAGCCTCACAGCCGCAGAGAGGGAGACTGCCTCTCAGTGCAGGCTCTAAGAACCATTCATTTAAAGAGACAAATATTCTGATTGTTCCTCCACCAGAAACAGTTCTCTTTTGAAAGGGCAAAGCAACAAGTCCTTGTCCACGGCCACCATAACTCCTCTAAAAATCTCCCCATTGTCAGGAGAGGCTCAACTCAGCTCACAGGGAAATCAATGGGAGTTTTGTTGCCGATTTCACTGGGAGAAAAATCTGCCCCCAACCCTTAGCTTCTTACAGTAAGTTCCAATGAAAGCTTTATCCATGAATGAAACGTCCTGGCTAGGAGGTTGGTTTGCCCCCATAGCAGACGGGAAAAGGATTTTGACAACAAAATGTGGAAAAAAAATCCTTTGTCTAAGAGAATGGCAAGATTTTTGTGTGAATAAATTTTCCAGCAGTTAAATCAGCGTATGCTAAATGTTCTAGTGTGCCAGCAGCCCAGATGTGCGAAGCAGCAAACGGACTGTTTCTGGACTTTGTCTCAGCTGTAACTGGTGCTGCATGGGAAGAAGGGCCAAAGGTAACTTTGTGCAACCCTTTCAACCCAGTTCCTGTTGCCAGGGCTAGTCCTCAGCATGACCTACGGCAATTCAGGAAAGACAATCAAGGGCTAAAGCAGTCTTTGCCTCACCTAATTTTAAGCAACAAAAGTATCAAAAATGTTTAAGGTAGGAACCTGGTCGCCCTGAACTCCTGCAGGCTGGAACCCCAGGGGAGACCAGCCCTTCAGACACCCTTGACTTTGCAGAGAAGGTGTAGGGATCCAGCCTCTGACACGTCCTTCTTCAGCCCCTTCCAAAGCTCCCACACGTGCATTTGTGAACCCTGCTAAATGCTTCAGTTATCGCCTGTGCATATAAAAAGAGTGGTGATCCCGGGTCAGATCAAAGATTATCCAGCCCAGTGCCTTGTCCCTGACAGTGGCCAGTGATGGATACACAGTGAAAAGTAGAAGAGGACAAGGACATACAGATACTTCCTTGGAAATGCTCTCCCACTATTTTGTGGTCCAGGGTCCTCCTCAACCAGGGGAAGAAAAACAGTATTTTGGTTAGAAAAATAACTGAGTTGGATGGACCCATTTGTACTGTACTGGGAATAATACACATACCAGGGGACTGCAAATTAAATAGCAAAAGCAGTTTGATTCCCTCTTGTCAAAGTCATCAGCTCTAGGGCCAAATATGTTTCTTTTAACAACCAGTTCATGTAAGCCCATATAATACGAGAGTGTTTCCATATAGGAACCATACCATTTAGATGGATCTAACCACATACCCTTCTCAGTAACAGGAAAAGCAGTATGGCCATCAGAAATCCCAGGCTGGGACCCCACAAGATACTAGACAGGCAGATTTGTATGGGGAAGCTGAGAGGTAAGGCCAGCAAGGGCAGATGTGAAGGAAAAGGTACTTAATGCTTTGATTTATTGGATTTTTACTGATAGCTTTGAAAATCCTCTCCAAGAAATTTGTCTCAGTTGCTCCAGGAGTTATTTTACAATAACAGCAAAGTATCAGAGAGCAGAATTTGGCTACTTATGACCTTCTATGGGTGTAATGCCAGTTTTGCAGATTTTAGTACCACCTAGGTTTTGGTGAAAACACACTTTCAGCCTTTCTTACTCTATTCCCCTCCATCCAAAGTGATTTTTTCTTGAGATATCTGTGCTGTAGTGCACCAAACTCATACGCCTAGCAGCTATTCTTTCTCCTGGACTGATGGTCAGCCTGAGCTGCAGTAGACAGCCCAGAAGCGCCATATACTCTCAGTCAGTCTTTGTGTGCCCTCTCATCCTTCTCTGCTATACCAGAGCTGGCCAGAAGATACAGCACCTGAGAGGCCTATGTGCAGGAGAGCTGCACGCCTAAAGCAAAAGGCAAAGGATGAAGATATACTTTACAAGTGGAGAGGGTTTTCTGTGCCAGATCTTGCACAGACACCGTTCCTGACGTCATATGTAAAAGAAATGTTTGCTGCCTTCAGCCCAGTACTACAATAACACTGCAGAACTGGAAGCAGAGCAGCTCTGTGCAAGCATAAAGAAAGAGGATGTCTCTCGACAAATTTTCAGAGGATGCTCAAGGTTGCCTGCAATATTTGTTGTGAGTGAAAATAGTCAGGTGGTGCATGGAGAAGGGCTGAATAAGCAATGCCAGCACTCCTCCCCAGGGACGCTTTGAGAGTTTGGCTTGTCAGCTACAGGCCTCCTTGAAAGCATCAGGCCTCTGCAGAGAACTATTTACATTTTTTAAAATGATTTTGCACCCTGCACTTAAGCAAGCAACGGCCAACAAAAGAGCCCCTCCAGATTTTGAGAAGGGCCTGGGGAAAAGGACATTACAGTAAGTTGTGTTGCAAACACAGATTTGCTGGGCATGACTGGGCCTCAAGTGCTGTGTACAGCACTGACTGCTAGTCATGTAGGCATTGACCCTGCAATGGGCAGCGTAGCTACAATGACACTGGTAACATACAGGGACTCCAGGCCACATCACGCTGTACTCCAGTCAGCATCATGTCAGAGCACAGGAACCCAGTAAATAAGATCTCTTCCATCGCCAGAGGATCAAGTATCACTTAACTAGTATTAGCTACTCAAAATACCTCTTATGAGATGGTGAGAGAGAGATGGATAAGCTGCACGATATGCACAAGCTCAGACAGGGTATTCCTATATTGTTTCTTGGAGTATAGACTTCAGAGGCTAAAGCAACAGTGGCAAAATGGAACTGCTCATAGCCTATCACAATATGAAGCTGCCAGAAGCAGTCCATCTTACACGTTGCTTCCCTTTATTTGTTTTATGTGAGCTGCTTGATAAATATCACCAGAGATAATCTATCACAAGAAACTCCTCCAGCCTGAGCAGTGAGACTCTGAGCCCTCTAACACAGACATGAATATGCTCCAGACAGTGATACCCTCCAAGGGGAGCTCATCGTTTGCTCTTAAGTCCAAATGAAGCAGAACTGACTTAAAAAAAAAAAAAAAAAAAGGTTAAAATTGAATCTCAAAGACAAAGAAATCTTGGCTAACCACCAAGACCATGTTTCTGAAGCTCCACACAAGGAAAGCAGAATTAGCAAAAGGACAAAACCTGGTAGGAGTCAGACTCTACTTCTCTCGTGCAGGGAACAAGCACAACTCTCTCTCTGCTGAAAGGACAATATGCAGCCCTTATTTCTAAGCTGCAGTTTATTTTTTAATGCAAATGAAACAGAAAAATTTAATTCTGATGGACAGGTCTGATTAGGAATTTCCTTAAGTACCTTTCACTGAACCTGTCATTTGAATCAGTGTTTGACTGATTATGCACTCTAATTTCAGCTGAAAGCAAGGGCATTCAGTGCCTCAGGTAGCAGGATCTGTCTGTTGGTTGTTTAAATTACAGTATACACAACTGAACATGTTAAACTCACAGCATTGTACAGGTTCAGACTAAAGCAAAACATGCTTCACATTCCCCTTCAGGATTTTTTCTCTCCCAGGCTGCTCAGCCACTCTCCACTCCTCTTCATGACTGTTAGGCAGATTAAAGAACTTCACACTCAGCACAGCAGAATACTATGGGCTGTAAAAGGTTTTAGTAGAACACTTTTTACATCTCATTCTAGTATCTTTTCTTTCCCTAAATTAAAAATAAATCAAGTCTATTTACAGTTTCTACGACGCCTGTGTCAACTGCTAGATCCCTGATTTTGCAAAGCACTGGCACATCAGGTATATGTCTGGAAGGTTCTGCTAAATACGAAACTCATAAACATATGCTTATCAATATTAATTCTTTTGAAGATATAAAACATGAATTTGTTAGCATAATCTAGTGGTTAACACAATGTCTAGTCCCCCATCACTGCCACAAATCCGTATGTCTTATACTGGGATATTAAAGGAAGCTGAAAGGATTCAGTTAAGCTGTAAACATTTATTTCCTCCTGAGTTGGGCTAAACCACGAGGAGATGACAACGCCTACATTGGCACCAGGCCTCCTACCTGTGGAGCTGCCTGAATTGGAGGAAGTGTCCTGAAGATAGCATATGGTCTGTACACTGGATATACATTACATCATCTATTGAATCATGACCAGTTTCCTTCCAATTACGGGTCACATAGGCACTGGAG